GCACACGTCTAAAAGGTTGACCCTTCTCCACCTGGCAGGGGAGAAAAAGGAAACCAGATTGGGTAGAGGGAAAAGTTGGGCTGTAATGCAGGCCAAGTCAGCCTTGGCCATCTCCATGGATAGCTCTGGCATAAAATGGCCCATCATAATGATCCCGCATGGGGCCAAATAGCACGGATTTTATACCTTTACTTTGATCAACTATCACTGGGTGTAGGCCACCCTGAGAAGGATGTGACCTTGACTTTGACAGCCCTCTGCCGCTCGCTTGCCTCCGGCGGAAGGCTGGCTCTCCACCTGCAGCCCTCCCATCAGCTAGGGCAACCAGCCCTTCCTGGAAGGGGGGCCTGGACAACACATCTCAATGTCCGTCGCACGAGCCAGTGTGCCTCAACATTAAGGGGCAAGTGTGCGTATTGTTAGTGGCAGAAGCCAAGAGGGGACTGGGAACGGTGAGTCAGAGGAAAGGCCTAGGATAGTTAAGCCTTGGGAGAAAAAGACACCAGTGTTGAAGTTTCTGTGGTTTATTTTGTTGCTTAGAGATGGGTGCTTGATTCTCCTTTGAGAACGATTGCTCTTCAGTTGTGGGGAAGAAAAATGACCAAAGCAGACCTTTTGGTTTTGCCAAAGAGAAGCTATAACTCTAAGCTATCCGCATAATTCTTCACTGTTGGCCAGAGTTGCACCGTTCCAGGAGGGGGAGCGCAGGGCTGGTGATGAAGGATAAACTACTGTTTCCTCTCTCTGGGTCCCAGGAGAGTTTGGGGGTGGGGGAGACAATGGTCAAAACCCCTCCCAGGGTGACTGGGTAGTGGGAGGTGGGCTTTACTCTGCAACAGTGGGGGTGGGGCTCAGCGTCCCTGGGGTTGGGGGGGCAGAGCTCTGGGAAGAGTTCCCGAGGCCTGCTGGGGGACGCTGTGAGGCAGGAAGCACTGAAGTCCTGGAGCCACAGGGCATGAGGGGGAACTGAAGGAATAGTCCGGTCTTTGGAGAATCTGCATATCAGAGATACGGGGTGGAGAACATACCATGGCCCGAGGTGGGCATTTGCCACCGTTACAGGGACATGAAAGGCAAGCGCCACCACGAGGGAGGAGCACTTGGCTCATCTGAACATGAGTGCTGGACTCTCTAAATGCCAACTTATCCAACCTCTGCTTAGGTGTCTGTGGTTCTGCTTTTGTACTGTTGGATGGGGCCACTTACTAGAAAACCCTTTCCAGTGAAAATTAAATTCAGGTTTCCTTACCTGTCCCTTCCTAGCTGTCTCTTTATTCTCCTCCCTTCTGCACTTTTCAGTTCGGCACTGCTTTGATCAAGAGGCAGGGTGTAGAGTAGAAGCACTGCTTTGGAGTCATGGAAACTCCGTTTCAACATTGACTACTTCTTGCTGGCTGCAGATGGTGGCACGCATTACTTCACTTCCCCCACACAGAGTCTGTACAGCTATTACTTACCAGCCTGGCGGCGGTTACTCTGTTTGCTGCTCACATTGTCACACGTTGACTAGCAGGGGCCTCTCTAAGCTGCTTCCGGTGTCCTTTTGAGATGGCCTTATCTTTGAGATCTTCCCTGCTTTCTGGCACTACGTGACGTCTCAGGCTTGTCTTGTGTCTTCTCTGCTGCCGAACGAGATCTGGAATTGGCCCTTTTCCCAAGAAACTCTTTATCTTTCAGTGGGGATTGGAATCGGAGGCCAAAATCTAGGGCGTGGCCATTTATTTCTACTGGTCGTTTTAGTTAGCATTATGCGACTAGGAAAACAGAATGGGTGTTTTCATGTATTAATCAGAGGAACATCAGTGACTTATTGGTAAATGATAAAAGCAAATTGTGGAGTAATATAATACTATTTTGAAAAGAAGTTAAAAGGAAATAGGCACATATTACAACGAGTCAAAGAAAGTTGTAGAAGGATATGTAGAAACTGCTAACAAAAAGAGTTAGGATTATTTTTATTTATAGAGCTTAGTATCATATGATTTCCTACAATGATTATGTATTACCTTATTTTGTATTCTGAGATCTAGTAAAATAATTTAAATCGCACACACACACAAATATGGAGGGATGAATTCGGACCTACATTAAAAAAACTTCATTCCATTTTATTTTGTCTACGGTAAGCTCTATGTGTTGCTACAAATGATCGCTGGGGCTCTATCAGGGGGAGATATGCATGATGGAACCCATAACAGACCTTCATTCTTAGATTTATGTAAGTCACAATGGCATTGGAGAGACTTATTTCAAGTATGTGTTACTCTTTGGCAAAAAGACACCACATTGTATTCCAATGATAGTTACTGTTTCAGTCACATAAGAAGATGTTATTTATACATATTTTTGTATCTCCCCATTCAGTAAAAATCGGTTTTGTTGGATTCTTAAGTCCTCTCCTCTTTTCCCGTGCCTGGTTCAGGGACATCTCAGTTTCATTTCTGACCTCTGTGAAATACCAGAAGGAGGGGTCAGTAGCTAATTCAGGACCTATGAGTTGGTGATCCAATGTAGCCACTTTAGGTAACTCAACTAAAATGGTCCCTGCCACTCCCCTTGGATCTCATTCGGGCTCCTGGACAGTGGTGGCGGGAGTATGATTTATGCTCAAGGTGAAGGTTAGTGCTCCTCCTCCTCTTTCTCTGTAGTTTGTCCTGTGATTAAAAAAAAAAGAAAGAAAGCTCTTGTGGCTGATATTTTGGAAAAGGTATTTTGTCTGATATAGTTTGTTCTGTTTATCCTCAGTGAACATTTAATTGGTATTTTAATATAGTTCCCCTTATGATGGTTCTGACAACTTCTTTTGGTCGGAGACAGCGTAGCGTAGTGAAAACTGCACAGGCTGCGCTACTAGGTCTGGGTTTGACTGCAGCCTTGGTCAAGTTAGCCAACACTTCAGGAACTCGGCTTTCTCAGCTCTGAAATGGAGATGAAAACATTGTCTCAGGAACTGGAATGCCTATTTAATAAATGATAGTTATTAATATATGAAGTAAAATTTTTATAGCTCTGCATTTCTAAAGAGTGAGCCAATGAATGGATGCAATGAACACCTGCAGAAATGAGGAGATGAGAAACTGTGCGAAGGAAGTCAAGACGTGGGTTAGAGGCTGTTATGCTAAGTGAAAGAAGTCAGGCAGAGAGAGACAAATGCCATAGGATTTCAGTCATATTTAAGAAGCAAGACAAGCGAAGGGGAGAGAGAGAGAGAGAACCAAACAACAGACTGAACTACAGAGAACAAAGTGATGGTCACTGGTTGGGAGGTGAGTAGCGGGATGGGGGAACTAGGTGATGGGGATGAAGGAGCGCCCTTGTCGTGCTGAGCACCAGGTGATGGATGGAAGCATCGAATCACTATATTTTACACTTGAAACTAATATAACGCTGTATGTTGACTAACAAATTAGAATAAAAACTAAAAAAAAAAGAATACTCCCTGTAATACACTGAATTCTTGTAGCCTAGTATTACAGAGAATATGTCAGTATTTAAGTGAGTCCTCAAATTTATCATAGAACTGCATTGTATCAGGAATTATTTCTAACTATGGTTCATACTTTTACCAAAACAGAATGGATTTTCCTCGAGAAGATTCAGAGCAAACATATCCTTCTCAAAATTAATCATATTTCCTTCAATCCAGTTAAACTAATTGTTGCCAATTCATAGGAAATTCGGTTTGAAGAAAACATTTATAATTTTGGGATATCATTCATTGGAACGCCACAAAAGTAGAACATAGATTAATAGAGAAACAGTTTCCAAACCAATGTCTGGGATTTTGTTTGGAATTATCCTCAAAACCCCAATTCTGGAGCTTAACTGGTAATATCAAATGACTTTCCATGCCAATTACTCCTATCCCCTCCTTGTCCCTCCTTTCTGCCAAATAATTTTTCCCTCTAACTATGGTATTAATTCGTTCAACTGAACCCCCATGAATACGAAGCAGACTGAAAAACTCACACGGTGTCAGAGGTGGAAATATCAGCTCATATTTTTGATTGTGTTACAATGAGATCTAGACTATACACTGTAGTCCATTCATGTTGTGTCCTTTTGGAAGGTCTTATATGCCACTGACACATGCAGCCAATTGTGCCTTCCTGGAGTTGGAAATGTTACATATTTCAAGAAGCAGTTCTTTGTGCTAGTATTTGAAATGCAAGCTCCTTTGTATGCTGTTCTACCCCACCCCATTACTGGTATGAAGCTATATATTTCAAAAATGTCTTGCTTATGAATACCAGGCAGAGAAAGCACCCACGTAAGCATTTAGAAAGGAGAGAAGCAGACTAAACTGGATGAAGAGAAGCATAAATGAATTTTGGAAACCTCGTTTGTTTTTCCAGAAGAGATTCCCTGGTTCCTTTGCCACTCCCCTCCTCCCAATCCTTATGGAGCCATTTTAGAGCCAAAAAAAAAAAAGAGAGAGAGAGAAAGAAAGAGAAAAGAAAAGGAAGAAAAGAAAAAGGAAAGAAACATGGGAGAAAAATGACGTTTCAACTTTCATACTGTTGTATTCCTTTCATATCTTTGTGTTTTTCCTTTCATGCTGAGCAGATAATTCAGTTCTCTTATCTTTTGCCTAATTTCCTTATGAATTTGCATTTTTAGCACTTGGCCACTGGGGAAACATTTATAAAAGAATTTAACCTATTATTGATGTTCAGATTTTGCCTGTCGCTATAACCAGTGTCTGCCAGTTTCCTGCTGGGCGTGTCTCCCCTTCGCCGGCTCCACACAGGCAAATCCTTGGTAGCTTTCTTGCCTGTCCTGAAGACTTTTGCACTTCTAGGATTTTCACCACTCTTATTACTGATTTGGGGACCTTTCACAATTTTGTTGCCCATCACTCATATTTTAGTCCTTAAGAATATTCTACAATAAGTCATACTTTTAATCCTATAGCCTGTCTCTTGGCAAGTGGATTCATTTCATTTCATTTTATTTTATTATTTTTACTATTTTATTATTTTTTAAATTAAATTAATTAACTTTATTTTTCTAAATTTTGCAATTTTTTTAAAAATTTTATTTTATTTTACTTCTTAAATTTTTAAATTTTTTTTTTTTTGCTGCTTGATGAATAAGTTTATTATTGTCTTTATCTGAAAAATCTTCATAGAAAATTGTGGTTTGGTTTATTAGCTCTCAGCAGCCCGCTCCTGAGCTCTAAGGAAGCTTGCCTTCTTCTGAGCTACCCAATCTTTCTTTTGGGCAAGAGACATTTTGGGACGGTTCCACCTCTTCTTTTTAACTTCTTTCTTAGGCTTCTTCTCATAAACCGGATTCTCTCGTATAGCAGCATGAGCTTTCTTATACATCTCCTCCATCATGTCTGGAGTTACGTTGTTCTTTATGTATTGAGAGAATTGTTTCTTGTAAGCATCTTCGTCTTCTTCCATTAGGTAACGCATATAATCTGCAACATTCTGACCCATGATGTGCTTTCGATGTACTTCTGCATTGAATTCCTTGCTTTCTGAATCATAACCAGGGAATCGTTTGGTACTGTGAGGGATAGACAAGCCTCCATCCACTGCTCCCTTGAGGGCCCCAAAAACTTTATTTCCAGTAGTAGTTCTGGTAAGCCCTGCATCCATATAGCAGGTGAAGGCACCAGGTCCACCATCAATGCTTTCCACATTGTATTCATCTCCAGTCACTTCCACTTGGCCTTCATGGATCTCGTCCCTGCCAAACCTATTGAGCCTGCGGGCCCGCAGCAGGCCAGTACAATACGCTGCAGCATAATTTGTCAGGCCAACCTTCACACCATACTTTGGGAGTTCATGAGCGTAAGCCGCACAAACTATCATATCTCCTATGTGGGCATAAGCAGTCTGACAAATGATTTCTCTGTTGGTTACACGAACTATCATCCTGTATTTAGGTGTGTTGTACTTATTTTTATTTTGAATTACCAAGTGTTTCCGGGCATAATAATCAGTTTTACCCTCTCGTCTTCTTCTGAATTTCACTTGGTATCTCTTGAAGTAAGCCTTATTCTTGACAACCTTAACAAACCCCATCCTGCGGAACAGAGACCGGCGTCCGCGGCTCGCCACAGACCAGCAGGCCCAGCAGCGCTCCGCTGGGGGGAAAAGGCCTCAGCCCGTGTGCAGGCGCAGTATTAAAATTTTTTTATGCTTCATTTTAAATCATATTTTGAGCAAGATTACAGGCAAATTAGCCAGGTTTGCCATAGATATAATTCCTGAGTAAAGAGAAACTGTTGGATTCAAAGTATAATTAATTGTTCGCATGAATTTATCAAGGACTAAAATTACCTATTTCGTTTTGTGCACCTTCAATGATTTTCATCTAGCTGTATTTATATTGTCTATTGCTAAATTTATACAAATATCAAAACATCAAATGAAACAAAGAGAAAAATCAAAGAGAAGAAGTTCCATTCTTCTCCCAGCCTTCTCTTTAGTCATGTAGGCTTTGCCTGTTCTGTTACTAAAGGGCAGGTGAAATCAAGGCAGTAATCTTCAGCTCCCTTTATAAAAAAGGAGGGGACTCCTAGTTCCTCTGAGAAGGGAGGGTGACTCTCTGAAAGGAAGCGCCTGCTCTCCAGATCTGTATAAATGTTTAAAATATGACAGTTACTTTTGCCTTAGGATTTTGGATCATTTCTTTTTCAGTTTGGTAGTAGAGTAAAAGAATCACTTGGAATATCCATCTTCTCATTGTTGTGGACTTTTCTGTCCTCTTCAGCATGTCCATCAGTTCTCTTTAACGCATTAACGAGAGGAGAAATGTATCTGGAAAAAGTTTAGTTGGGATAGACCTTGTATCAAACACCAAAATGAAATTAGGGGATTATGATTATCATGTTTATTTAAGCTACTCCCAGCTCCTAATAACACACACATATACTCAATTGGAGTAAGATTTGACTGACTGCCCACAAACAGCAGAAGTTTGAATAAAATATTTAGAACCTAAGTGGATGTTAAGATCACATTGTTTTCCTTCCTGATTATACGCTGTTATGCCTGATTTAGGATTATTTCATTTCCTAGCGTTAGAAAGCCAATTCAAACTAGATAAAGAAAAAAATAGAATATATTGATTTATGTAACTAAGAGAAAAGAATTAGTTGAAGTTGGCTTCAGGCATGGTAGGATCCAGGAACTCAAATGATGTCATTAGGAGATATATATGTGTGTGTCTTTCTTTTTGCCTATCTAATCTTTTTTCATTTTTAATGGTCTTGGGGCTTTTAATATTTTTTATTGTGATAAAATATGTATAACAAAATATGCCATTTTAACCATTTTAAATGCATAATTCAGTGGCATTCACTATGTTAACAGTGTTGTGCAGCCGTCACCACTATTTGTTTCCAAGTCTCCATCACCCTAAACAGAATCTCTGTAACCAGTCATTAAGCAGTAACTCCCCATTCCCCTCTCCCCGCACCCCCTGGAAACCTCTAATCTACTTTCTGTCTTTATCAACTTGCCTATTCTAGATATTTCATGTAAGTGGAATCATACAATATTTGTCCTTTGGTTTCTGGCTTATTTCAATTAGCGTCACATTTTCAAGGTTCTTCCATGTCATAGCAGGTGTCAGTACTTTATTTCTACTTACGGCTTAATAATATTCCATCATAGGGATAGACCACATTTTGTTTATCCATTCATCTGTTGATGGACATTTGGATTGTTTCCATCTTTTGGCTGTTGGCGAATACTGCTGCAACAAACATTGCTGTATAAATTTCTTTTCGAGTCCCTGCTTTCAGTTCTTCTGGAACATACCTAAGAGTGGAATTTCTGTCTGATCTTGATTCCTCCTTCCTCTCTGCGATTTCATCGTCAGGTAGACAAAGGCAGTTTGTTCCTTACTCCTCAAGTTCCTGAAAGATGGGAGAGATTTTTTCTCCCATTGCCTATATTAACACCCGAAGAGCAATTCTGATTGTCCATATTCTGATCTCTACCTCTGGATGGGTCACTAGATCTAGGAAGACACTTCTTTATGACTGCGTGACTAACAACCCAGTGGTTTGGAGGGCAGTTCTCTATAGAAAAGGGAGGCTCAGCTTCTAGATATTTCTAGATGCCAGTGGGCAGAGATAAGAGATGTCCACTGCAGTCCCATTCCTGGCGTAGGCAGGAAACTCATCTTTGCTGTTTATCAGGGACCCTTGGATGAGAGAAATAATTTAAGAATGACACAGCTGGAGTTTTGACAAGAATGAGGGAAAACCAACTGTCAGGGCTGCTGATTGGAATACTAATGCTATTACCTCTTGGGAGAACATTTCAATGATATCTAGCATTCCTGAAAATGTGCAGATATTATGACCCAGCAGCTCTGCCTCCATGTAGTCCCAGGAAAACCTCTTCCACCATGGCCTCTGGAAACAGGGACAAGACTCTAATCTTTGTGGCATTGTTTGTAATTGGGAAAAATGGAAAATCCCTGAATGTTCATCGGCTGGCTAAAAGATAAATTGTGGTATATTTATAGAATGGAATGTGATGCCACATTAAAAATGATCTAGATCTATAGGTATCAGAATAGATAGGCTCAAAAGTATAACACTGAATGAAAAAAAATGAGTTGTGGTATCATAAGTGCTGATTTGATAGCATTTATTCACATATCAGAAAACATGCAAGACCATGTTCAGCATTTTTGAATCCACATTTGGGATATATGTCTATAAAATAAAAGTATAAAACCATATACTGGAAAGGTTCCCAACAAATTAAATAGTTATAGGCAAATGGGAAAGGGGAAAAAAATCAAAGGGATTTCAGTATTTTCTGTGTTGCTCCTTTTTTTTCCATTTTTAATAAAAGATTTACTTATTTAATTAATCTCTATGCTCAGTGTGGGGCTCGAACTCACGACCCCAAGATCAAGAGTCACATGCTCCACCAACTGAGCCAGCCAGGCAGCCCCCCCTTTTTTTTATTTAAAGTTAGCTCAGTTCAAATGACTAAATGTGATCAATCATTAATTTAGTCTCGTTGGTATTGTTTTTTCTTCACTGTTCTATGTTTTTTCAAGCTTTTCACAATTAAAAAAAGTAGCACATTGTTAGAGTTCAAATGGAAATCCAATTTTTTCCTTTAAGCTTAAAATTTTGGGGTATGTGTGCAGATAGAGGAAAAGGGTAGATAGATGGATGGATAGATAGATAGCATATTGCAATTCTTTTATGTGGTGTTTTTTCCAAGTAATCATAAGAAGAGGCTCTTGCCAGAACCTCCCTGCTGTGTTATACTACTTCTCGCCATTTTGTGTCATTTATGTGTTAGAGTAATTTTGTCCTTAATCTGGCCTGTGCCCCAGTATTCCCCTAACTAGCAAAATGCCCAGTGTGTTTCCCATTAACCTCAAAATTCCTACTCGGATTTAGTCTTCGAGCCTGAAGTGCCTCCTCTCATTTTAGCAAACAATCAGACTGCTCCCCGAATGTTAAAAGCTGGCAAAAGTCAACTACCCAAATCAGTATTCCTAAGAGAAGAAAGTCCTGGGAGGTGAAGATAGATTTCAGAAACCCTATTCATACCATGAGGGAAAAGTCATTAAATAATTGTGCTTGAGGCAGTTGGTGACAGCTGTGTCTCTTTCGGTTTTGCAAAAACGCTAACACAAAGATTTGCAACATCTTGCTTGATTCTGAAGTGGTTAAAATTTTATAATAGGAACCTTAATGGCAAGAAAAAGAATCGCAGCAAGAGCATTGCTCACTGAGCACTGACATCACCACGCGGGAATGAGGATTGTCTTACACAATGGAATGCGCTCTATCCCTCCTCCGAGAGGGAATTTGGCTTGGTATGCAAATTAAAATATTGTTTTGAAAAATCTGTTGCATCAAATGACAGAAACAGTTTTTTTTCTAATCCGGCTCTTCGGTGCATTACTGGCAAAGTAGTTGACAGCAGGCTCATATAGCCGGTTCATCTGGGCCACACTCTTGGATTTTGTAATGGAGCCCAATCAAGTGGAATTGTCCTTTGGCGAAGATGCAAAAGAGCCCTAAATTCTTGCGGTCTCTGTTTAAATAGTTTTATTGGGCATAAAAGAAAGGAAAGATCATTTACTTGAAATGCTTGCAAACCCTTAAAAGCATTTCGAATGTGAGTGTTATTTTGTTCTCCCTTTGTTGGGAAGTTGGCAGGTGAGATAGGGGGACGCTGGCTTGTTTTGGTAGGTGGCCTTCCTCTTCTCCTTTCAAGTTTCCTCGAAGGGGTCTCTCCCCAAATGAAGTCTTCCAGTCTCAAGTTCTGCAACCTGGAAATAATTTGAAACGATTCAAAAATATTACACAGTTCACGGCTCTGCTCTGCAATGTCATTTGACTGGGGTTGAGCCTGAGTTCACAGGTGGGGATTCAGGGAGTGACCGAGGCCATCACTCATGCTCACTCACTGCTCCTGCATCACTCCGGAGAGGTGGTTCCCCGACAGCGGTCCTGAACAGCATCGTGGGCGTCACCTGGGAGCTTTTTGGAACTGGTGATTCTTAGAGTCCACCCTAGACCTACTGGGGGCAGGACCCAGCAATCTGATTTAACCAGCCCTCCAGGTGATTTGGATGCACACGCAAGTGTGAGAACCACTGCCCCAGGGAAATCTGTCTACCCGCGTGTAGAGAAGCCCAACTCTGAGCCCTCTTTACTCTTCTTTCTCCTGCCGTGGCTGAAGTCCGTACACCAAATCTGTCATCCAATAGTTTGTGGTGGAATAATTTTAAATTGATTGTCATCATATGCAAGGGACTTTTGGTATTTTGGAATTTGGTGTTACTTTTGGAATTGGCAGGGACATGTTTTTCCATGAGGAGGTAAATGTAGTCGTCCTTCGTTGTAAAGAGGGGAATGGTAGTCTGGGACTAGTGCCCTTATAAAGGAGGCGCTTCCTCTGTCCTTCCACCATGGGAGGTTATAGCCTCCAATGAGTACCTATCTGTATCCCTTTTTTCTTCAAGAGATAAACTTGAAATTAATAATGAAAAAGTCTTTCCCTGAGATTATATCTCCTCTAATGACTTCTGTCACTTGTTCCTTGGTACAGGACTGTTTTCAGAAACGAATTTGGCATCTTAGACGCCCCACTGAGCAGGGAGCCTGATGCGGGACTCAATCCCAGAACC